TGAACATGAAAGATCACTTAAGAATATAATGCACCAGAGCCACTAAGTGCTTTAGATGCATAAGAACTTGAAAATCAATACCAATGTTGTGGAAAGACAAAAATAAAATACTTGAAATTGGGCATAATGTGTGGAGACAGCTGGGTACCTACAAGATTTGTGTGTGAGCTGCTAAATTTTGTACAACTTGCCTTTTAGAGAGAAAGGGATCAAAAAGTCTCAAAATAGTTTCTATGATTGAACCTTATGAACATAGAAGCATTCACAACATTTCCAAATTCTGTTTGCAAAGCAGTTGTCCAACAGTTACCTGTCATATGTGGTAAAAAGATTTCTTCAAATATAAAACCTACCCATTTGGTAGATCAGACATCTGGACTGATGGACTGTTGTGAAAACAGAAGATGAGGACAGCTCATAGACATCTTCTGAAAACAAAAATAGTTAATTTATTTATGGGACTGGTTCTTTCTTCTTACTGAAGTACATAGAAAAGCTGCAACAGTTACCATGGCAAATTCAGCTTCCAAGTCGTTATATAATGCCTTTAAAAAATTCATTCCTGGAGATCTCAGCTAAACCTTGTCTTTGCATTATATGGCACTGAAATGAAAATGTTTGACCGTTTTGATTATATGAATACAGATTTATGTCATTGAGTGTACCTGTAATATTACTTAATATTACTAATAGGCTGAAGGCAAAGATCAAGTAGAAGAGCCAATAATCTGATATAAAGACTATTTGGATCAAGGTAGAATTCTGTGCATCACTGCTACGACCACTGATGATCCAAATGTTATATATCCTTTATCTGAGACTGTTGAAACAAGCAGAAATAAAAGCTACCACAGCGGGATACAGCCACTATTAAATACGCTAAGAAGGATTCATGTATCTCTCTATTACAGTGCAATATAAGGCCATGTGTGTCTTGGTACTAGCTATTCTGAAATTTATTTGGTTTCAGTAACAGCTGAAGGGCAAATAGTTCTTGCAGGATGAGACCCACCATTTTCTTGTTATTTTTGCTTCATAACACACATCTAGTCACTACATACTGTTACAGAATGAGGAATAGCCCAGGCCTTTGCCCAAGCTCTTAATTTTGTATGTCTTTTGATGTGTGTAATGTTATCACTCTTTTCCATAGAAACACAAGGAATTAAATATTTTGTGTGGCACCAACACACTGAGACAGCTTGTTCTGGAACAGTTCTGGCAGTAAAGAGACACAGATGAAATATAAATCCCACAAACTTTACCAAATTCATTTGTTATTAATTGAATTTCTTTCTTCGGTTTATTTAGTGTATGAATTATCTGACATTGTTTTTCTGAATAAAGAAAAAATCAACTATGCCTTGAGGCATGTTTCCCTGCTCCATCAAAATGTGTGTGTGAGTAAGTCAGGGAGAAGAGACAGCTTTTCAGACCTTACATTTTGTTGATACTGCGGCTCCAAGGACAAAACAGAATAGTCCTCTCTGTGCTCTGGTTTATGCCTCCTTCCTTTGCTGCAAAGGGACTGTACCAGACTCCAGGAATTGTTGAAACACCCCAGCTCTGGCCATGCCCCCTTTCTGGCAGCTGCACTTCCTTACTGGCGAATTCAAGAAGGGAACAGAAAACTACTGCAGCCACAAAGGACCATCAGCATAGCACAGAAAGGAAAAGGAATCTCATTGCAAAGATAGCCATGCTAATTTACCCTCAGTTATTTGGGCGCAAAAGCATTGAGTGCATTTTGATATCATACTGCTTGACCTTATAACTCCAACTTTTTTTCCTCTTTGTTAGGTATTCTTGGCGCCATCAATTGCGGGAATTTAAAAGTGAATATCGAGTGGTGGCCCTGGATTTGAGAGGTTACGGAGAAACAGATGCTCCTTCTCACAAAGAAAGTTACAAGTTAGATTGCCTGATAGCAGACATAAAGGACATTTTGGAATCTCTAGGTGCGTTAGTAGAAGACAACCTACTTGACTCACAGATGACTTGATTTTCTAGCAAGAAAAACCCATAAAGATCTAGAACTGTTTTTTCTTAAACTGCAGTCTTTTTAATATATACACACCACAGATACATATAGGTATAAATTATAAATGAAAAAGGGCTGGTTTCTAATTATGATGTGTATGTCAGTATAAACAATAGGTAAAGATGATTTTTCCATCATGAGTTTAAAAAAAATATTTCCTATGTGCTGTGAAATCCAGCAGTACAAACCTCTGGTCTTTATCCCTAAGAAAGTCTTTGCTCCTTGCACTTAGAGGATAATGTTTTGAATTAGCACTTCCAGAACAAAGAATTTAAATCAGGTGACATTTTCTTGCTCAAACAAGACAGAATAAATATTGTGGGCTTTACAGAAATGATGAGAGTACATCTGCTGTATTAAAAAAAAACCAAAAAACTCTCCCAAAATACTACTCCTGCACAGTAGTCAGTTCTCCAGAGCTGAATCGCTCTGTCTTACACAACAGAGAGAAGAGAAGAACAGAAGGGAGAACAAGGGACATGCAAATACCCAGTGTAATGGTCTAGAGCTGAAGTGAGCCTGCAAAATTTGCCCCTCCAGTTCAGTTTGAAGTGTCGCTGTTTGGGTGATAAATTGTAACACCTGGTGAAGGGTATTTCCTACCAATAGCAACACAAGGGATTAGATTGTCATTCTCTGAGTCATTTTAATTCCCTGGATACTCCAGTGATAGTGAAACCACTTACTTAATTTCATATGAAGAAATAGTAAAGCAGTGATTCCAGTTCTGAGGTTTGAATTTAGAATTTGCTTTGCTTGTGATGTTTGAGCATTGTCAAAAGATTGGGCAGGCAGTCCCCACAGTGTTTACATTTTCCAGCCTTTGCTGGTTTCGTTAATCTCCACGGTAATGCCGTGGTTATGCTTGAGAAGTGCTCTCAGCATAATTCAATTTCATAGGGATTTAAAATTTTTTGGATAAAGTATTTCAGAGGCTTGTTATCTTTGTTCTAACCTTAAGTTAAATTCTTTTGGAGAACTTGATCATATCAAAAGTGCTCCAAAAGATTTATATTCAAGAGGGTTTATAAGGTGCTTTGACAACTCTGTCCAAATTTATCTCAGAATTCTAGAAATCTTGGCTTTTATATGTTTCATTTGCAGTGTATGTGCTCAATGTTCCAATCCTCAGTGAGGAGGGTGGTGGTATCTGACACTACAGTGTATGTTCCAGCAGTGCTTAAAGAAGGAATAGTTAGACTTTCAAAAACTCGGTGGTTATCCCGCATGACCCTTTTATTGCTGTTAAATACCATTTTTGTTGATGGAAGAATAAGTATGTGAATGTCAACAACTTTAAAAATTGCCAACAAAACAGCTTATGGAGAAAAGCTGTGGGCCTACTAAGTATATATATGGGTGTGTATATATATGCTGTGTATATGGCATTAAGTACAATGCCCACTTTTTGCATAATGGTGGTGTTGAGTGCTTAGATAACCTCCCATACTGAGAGAAATTCATGAGGATTAGTTTTGTTCAGGAGGGGCTTAGCAGATTGCTCCATTTTTTTGTCTGCAGTTTCAAACTCCAAACTCTCTAAACATGACAAATGTACATGCATTATAATGACTGCAAGTTGAACTGTCTGTCTGACCCTGCACTGGCCAAGATGTAAACAGGGTGGCAGTCTGGATACTGAGTGACTTTAGGTTGACATGGAGGTAGTACAGTTAAAGTTTAATGAAGTCCAATTAAATAATTTTAAATATTTGTACATTTTTAAAGTATACCAGTGGACTACTTTTTCTGACCGTTAGTAAGGGAAGCAGGGCAGTACTGAAGTTACATTAATAAATGTGCTGAACCACCTATTTTGTGCAATAATGAAATCATTATTGTATGTGATAATTTCTATGGATGCTAATTCCATTGAAATAAAAGCATGTATCTGTGTTTATGTGGTAGGATACAACAAGTGTGTGTTGATTGGCCATGACTGGGGAGGAATGATCGCTTGGTTAGTGGCTATTTGTTACCCTGAAATGGTGACTAAGCTCATTGTGGTTAATTTCCCTCATCCTTCTGTATTTACAGGTGAGTTTTATAGTAGTCTTTGTTAATCCAAAGTATCTGCACTTCCATTACAATTATGTTTGCTTTGAGAACCAACTACCTGCCCCGTTAGATGTTCAGTAGATAAGCTGCCAGTACTCCATGCTTCTCACAAGCTGGGCTGTATTTTATAAAGCATTAAGGTATCAAGTATCTGACTTCTGGAAATAAATTTATTGTAGGAAGTTGGGAGTGCTTGCAACAAAATTTACTGATTCTTTCAGTAAACCTTGAAGGTCCATAAACATAATTTTCATACACATGAATCTGTTTTGTTCCACTTTGGCAGGATAAAATTCCCTGAAGAGGGGTGTGTATTGTATTACACTTTGGTTAAGGCCTCACTGCATTATTAAATCTGCATAAACCAGCCTTTGTATAAATGTGACTCAAACATTAGAATTAAATCCCGATTTAGGTGACAAGCAATAATTTATGATCTGGTATAATATTCATTGGAAGATAACAGCCTTCCAGGCTACTTACTAGATGCTACTATACTAGTACTAGTACTCTTACTAGATGTACTAGTACTGAGCTGAAACAAGGACTGAGGTGCACTAGCAGAATTTGTTGTGTGATAGACTTTGTCTACTACCCAGAATTACAAAACATTTCATAGGGATTATATCAACATTCCATAATGAAAATGAAAGTAGTATCTCCCTAATTTCATTTTTTTCAATTGCTGGCCTTACCTATTTCCATTTAACAAGTCACCTCATTTCCCTAGAAATGGCTAAGAACATTCAGCGCAGCTTTTATTTTCATTTCAGTTGAATATAAATCAGACCTTACACCACTGTAGAATCAGAACCATCCACATAAGTTGTTCTCACAGTGGTTTTGGGCACCTTTCTAAGATACTAAAGAACATTTTGTCAGGTAGTAAAGCCACACTTACCCCAGGAGAGGTCTGTTCATCACATGAGGAAGTAGGAGCTTTTTGCAGTATTTTCACTGACAGCAGGAGCCAGGCTGTGGAGACAATTACATTTTATTACAGTATCTGTTTGCATATTTGTTGAAGTACAAAATCTGCTCTGTAGCTTGATAAATTCTCCCTAGATCAAATTTGTTCTACTGTGGGTTAAATGAAAATACACAGTTTATAAATAGTGGAGAAAAGTAAAGTTAGCAGTGATGGTCTAGCAAGGAAAAATATAATGGGTAATGCAATTTAAGAATGTGTAAGATGTGAACGTTTAGAAGATAGCTGACACTTCAAGTTACATTGGTTTAAAACCCATTTTTATTCATTGTCAGAATTAATATTTCAGGAATACCTCCTGTGTTGGGAATGGAGTTTTACCTTCCTGAATTTGCACCTGTAAAGGATAAGTTCTAGAATTCCTAGTACCCGCACACATTGTGTGCTTGCTTTGAGGAAGTTAGATATCTGAATGTCAGTGTTGGCTCTTGCAACTCACTGAAGACACAAATTTACAATTTTTAAAAAAGAGTTAATGCATGTCTGTATCATTTTCTTTTGTTATATATGCTCCAATGTCTTTTAAAATTACTTTTAAAAATCTTTAAAAGGTGACTCTATAAAACCTTGATTACGGTTCTTGAAATTGCCAAGTAGACAACTGTTAGAAAAAATCGGTACTTCTGTGAACAAGAGTGATGCAGTCTTTAGAATGTCAGTGGATCATCATCTACAGATTTCTGTGCATCACATCATTGATGAGAGAAATACCTAAATATTTTTATTTATGCCCTTTATTCCACATCTGTGAAAAAAATGCTTTGGACTAGCTACACACATAGATCTCTAAGTGAAAACCTATCATGCGATTAAACTCCCCAACGTCGCTGTCCTCACTTAATCTTTGGCAAACTTTTGTTTTGCTGGTTGTTTATATTAACATTTATAAAAGAACTATGTTTTAATGGCCACACCATATATTTACTCCTGAAACAATAGTCATCTTTTGTCACATAGCATGCTTTAATGTAATATTTTTAAAACATTCCTTTAAGTTTAAAAAATAGTAATATTAACAGTAATTTTGTTTGAGTCATCAGTTTTCATTTTTAATTCATGGGCATTTTTGTTTCAGAATACATTCTACGACATCCATCACAATTGATTAAATCTGGTTACTACTTCTTTTTCCAAATGCCATGGTTTCCTGAATTCATGTTTACACTAAATGATTTCAAGGTGAGCAAAATGAACGCTCTTGTTTATATATTTAACAGCGAGTAATAGAATTGCCACCTACATTGATCCCTTCTGATGTAGTTGTAATTACTGGAAAAAATATGGAGCTTTCTGATTTTTCTTCTTAAGTAGGACATAAGTACATAGAGTTACTGAGATTAACTCTTGCACTTCTGGGAGGTGTTCAGGTACATAGTTTTAACCTCCAGCACTGCAGTGCATTACTCCACCTAGAGAGTCAGCTGGTTTTACTTGTGCCCATAACACTGGGACATAGTTGGTGCCCGTGGAACTCCTGCTGACTTATCTGAAGCTCCTAAGGGCAGTGGGACATTCTCTTACCTCTTAGAGCCTGCTGCAGGGCAGGTAGCCTGGGAGTCTGGCCATCACATTCAGCCAGGTGATTAATTCTGCCCGAGGAACCAAGGCCAGCACCGTGTGTAACCTTAAAAACCAAGTGCAAGCACATAGAAAGGGACAAAGCAGCTGCAGGCATATGCCCTCCTACATGCAAACAGTTCAGTGCAGAGCTCCCAGTGCTGCATGCACACAGGGCACAGCCAGCTGGGGAGGTCATGAATCATCCTCCCTCCAGCCCTGCCACCTACTGGGGTCCATCCCCCCAAAAAAAAGTATGTGCCTGCACTTGCCTTTGCCTTTCATAGGTGGCAGGTCAGGATGCAGAGCTCAGTAACTGGGTAATATTGGCATTTGTCTGTACTTGATTATTCTGAAGTAAGTTACACTAGAAATAAGTTAACCATGTGCTTTACATATAGCTCTCTAAAAAAACATTTGAACCCTTCGTTGTATGTTCTCTCTCCCTGTCCAGTCACAGAAGGGAGTGACAGAGTGGCTTTGGTGGGTACCTGGCATCCAGCCAGGGTCAACCCACTACAACTCTGAACATAAACAGATTTATAAATATGTATAAGTAGATTTTAGAAAGATATGTCCTATTGAAGGAGAGAAATCACATTTTCTAGCTATCTTAGGTAATAGCTTTTTATTCTTCCTTTTGTAGGTTCTGAAAAGTTTATTTACCAGCCAGGCCACTGGAATTGGAAGGAAAGGCTGCAGATTAACAGCAGAAGATATCGAAGCTTATCTGTACGTCTTTTCACAACCTGGAGCACTAACAGGACCCATTAACCATTACAGGACTATTTTCAGGTCAGTATAACGTTTTCAAACAGAGAAAAATATTTCAGAGAGTCCCCTGGAGCTCAAAAATGTTACTGCGGCTCCTGCCACTTCTGTTTCTGAAGCCTACCCAGGTGCCGGGTGCAGGCAGGGTAAGGCAGGTGAGGCCTCGTGTGTTCTGTGTGGTGTCCATACAAAACAGCAAAACAACCACAGTGCAGATAAGGAAAATTTTTGTTTCAAAATCTAATAAAGCAAAGGCCCTCCCTTATACACAGCACCCATGGCAATTCCATAAATCTATCTCTAAATAACACTTACAAATTTAACATCAATTAATTGTTTGCATTACAATTCATATTAAGTAATTATAATATCAAGAGCTTACTATTAGATAATACTACTAGATAATGCGGCATCCAAGTACGTGATCCTCACTTGTAACTCTACAAAACTACGTCTGACACCCCCTTTTTACCTACCAAAAACATGGCCAGAAGGGCTTTAACTCTCTATACTCTACTTAGAGAACTAACTTGAAGGACTGTATCAAGAAGAGTGGCGTTGAACTTGTTTTTTCTTTACTGTCCAGTCTTCAGCAGTGATAAACATCCTGCATGCTTCTCTAACACAAGACCAACTTCCCAATATTCTTTAAAATGACCATTCCCTTCTTTCCCTAAACTCAGGCACTAGATGTGTGAAGTAGATTAACTTTTCATTTCCCCTGATCCAAATTTAGTACCACCTTTATTGCTTTCTATGCCATCCATGCTGTCACTGTCAGGAGAGCAATCAGCAGGGAAATACTGTGAGGAAAACAAGGATCCAAGCTCGTTGCTGTCTTGTACAGGCTAAGAGACAAAACTGGAAGGAAGAAGTGGAAAGATAACACCAAGCATGGATGACAGTGGGCAATAAATGAGATGGCCCCGCTGGAAACAGCACACTTAGTTAAAGCTACGCAGAGAGCGGTCGATGACATCAGCTGGACTGTCCAAGGGCGCTGGAGCTGTGTGGCTGCACAGCCGCTCCCGGCCCGGCAGCTGCTCTGCAGGAGCCCCGGGGAAGGGCTAATGAGGAGCTGGAGAGGCGTGAGCGCCCGGAGCCCTGCTCGTTATGTTGGGCACAGCACCTCGCATCACTGAGCATGCACATTAACCAGATGCTCCTCTGACAGCAACAGTGACGTGCCTGTGATAGCTGGATGGCTGTGGGACTCAGATGAAACAAATCTTTGATATGTTTAAACTATTTCAGGCTTTTTCAGGCTCAAAAAAAGTCTAGTATCAGTTATTAATCAGAAAGTGTCTTCAGAGCTGTTAATTCCTCTGTATGTTTTGTGTGTATGTTTGTGCAGTGTTTGCTTTATATTTCTAATGAAAGTATACCTGTAAGGAATTCAGAGAATTTTATTTTAGCTGCTGTCAGCCACGATGCAGAAGGCTTTGGACTGGAAAGAAAAGATTAGTCTTCAGCCCATTCAGTTCTTGCCACCAATTCTGATGGTCACACCTCACAGGATGTGAATTCTTAAATACTAAAACTGGATTGAAATGTTCCCTTTCTCTCATATGAGTTGTTAAGCAGCACTTGGATGCTAATGACTTGTATTCACCACAACTCCCAGTGGGCTGGTACTGGTGACCTACATGTTAAAGGTTACCAACTCATTACTATCCACTTAGAGTTTCATTCTTCAGAGCTTGATTTTTCTGGAAAGTTATTTCCAAATAGATGATTGAAATAACCTACTTCCATCCTTCACCAACACATCCTTTTATAAATAGCACAGCAGCCATTCCCTTCACTATACTTTAGATTCAAACACTTTGAGAATAAAAATCATAAAACTTTTCTGTCATGCTTGGTTAAGAGAGATCGGTACAGAGCTGGAGCTTGAATTTCTTCTGATATGCTATATTTTTAGAAAATGGCATTAGTTCTCTTATAGCAGTTAAGAAGTACTTCACTATTTGTTTACAGAAAAGCTGTATAACAATGCTGTATGAAGGTTTGAGTCTGTTTTTCAAAGACTTTAACACTTAAGGAGTGGAACTTCTTTCTAAATGTGAAATCCACGTATTAATTGTTATTAAAGGCAATTTCTAGAAATTTCAGGCATGATACAATTTCCCATATTCCAGACTGAAAAGACATACAGTGTAGCTCATAGGCAGTGAAAAATGACAGGTTGTTTATGTATACAGCATGTGTAAAAAGCCTGGTAGATTTTATCTAAGTCAGGCTACAAGTCTTGCAAGGCACAAAATAGGAAACCCTACAGTAGTAAAAACACCAACATAAATAGTGAAGAGATCCAGGATACTGGATTTTAAAGGTAAAAAGGTTAGCCTAAATGCACTGAATGAGATCATCAGATTATCAGTTTTTAAAACTGGTACTATGAATAAACTATGGTTCAGTGGCTGAGGTCAAGGTGTTTGCAAAATCAGATTTAAATTTAATGGTAAAAAAAGGCATTTTAAGAGTTTTCCTAATTCATCAATCAAAATGAAATTAAATTATCGCTGAAAGTGATCTTTTATTAACATTTTTTGACATAATGTGTAAGTAGAGAGGAAGAACGTCTTCAAAGTCTCCATTTCTTTGTCTTATTTTAAACTAATGCATGTCATCTTCTTTGTCTTTTCCTCTTTACAGAGCATAATCTCTTAACTAACTCCTAAGGTTAAAATTAGTACTTAAGTATGTCATAAAAGTTTGTTCAGAAAATACATTACTGGTTTAAAATATTCGTATTTGTGCATTTAATATAACGAAGATTTGTATCTGTTCAGATGGAGTCTGTTTTGAATTGTCACAGTCTGTTACTATATGTGACTAAAATTAAGCAATTCAATCTTAGATAAATTTTTCAGCATTTCTGGAACAGATGTGCTAGAATAAATTTGGGTGGGTTAATGGTGAAATTAATAATTGTATTTAAAAAATAATCTTTTTACTGAAAGTTTAAGTAGGTCATTGTGATAGTATCAAGTTCATTATAATTTTACTTTCTAAGGGCTTTTCTTCAAAGTGTTCTTCAAATGTCTTATAATGTATTTATCCTTAAATGCTTTCTAGTCTGACAAAACTCTGGGTTGTGATGTTGCAGTTTTAGAGAGATTATGACTTCATGAAAAGTAAACCTTTAAGAAACAGTTTTCCTTCACTGCATGTAAAAGATGTAGGTATGTAAGTCCTAGGCCTTCAAAAAATACTTTGTAAAATACTTTGTGGTGCTTTGTAAAGGGAACTCTGATGCATTTTGAATGTTGCATGAATTTCATAGAGTGAATGTAACTGAATTCAGTTCAGCATTTCAGACATCAATGTTCTATAGAACATCCTTTTCTACAAATATTTTTATTTTCAGCTGTTCTCCATGATATTTAATTTTTAATAGGTCTGAAACACTCTAGCTGTATCTTCCATAATGTCCAGCAATGGCAGCCTGCCATTTGCTGGGCAAATATTTTTCAGTAAGGTAGTTTGGCTGGTGTGCAGTAAATAATGCAGGTTCAGAAACTTGCCATTCATCAACCAAGGGAAAGCAAGTGACCTACAAAATTCTGGCTGTGTTGTTCTACATTCCCTTTTACAGAGGCCATGGGGCTCCTGAGCTGTGCTGAAGCATCTTTCATGTTCCAAAAATGAGACCTCTGTTGCAATCAACTGCTGATTAGAGACCTGTTACAGTAAAAGTACCTTCTAACAATTTCACTATCCTTAAAACAACTAAAGAATTTTAAGTCACAGTGTTTTCTTGGTATTGTAGGAGATATCTTTAAACTTAGAAAGTCTGCAATGAGATTCACTGCATTGATTTCAAAAGCTATGTTGACTAAAACATGTCATAATGATTTTTTTGTTAAAATAAGACCTAACTAGGTGTGTTTTATTTTTAAAGCTGCCTACCTCTGCAGCACCATGAAGTCATCATGCCAACCCTGCTGTTATGGGGAGAAAGAGATGCGTTTATGGAAGTTGAGATGGCAGAAATTACAAGGATTTATGTTAAAAATCATTTCAGATTAACTATTTTGTCTGAAGCCAGTCATTGGCTCCAGCAGGATCAACCTGACATAGTGAACAAGTTGATATGGACCTTTCTTAAGGAAGAGACAAAAAGAAAAAGAGAATGACTGTACATGTTTTAAGAGGTCTACATAAAAGCTCTTCAGATTTAAAACCTAATTGTTATCAGGGCCATATTTCCAGCCTGCCTTCTATTTTGAGCTCTGTTAGAGAAAAGTGTTTTCATTGTACTGTATATTTGGACACTAATGTTACAGCTAAAAGAAGTGAATTTGAGAATATATGATACCAACATTGGTTTTACCTGTATACTTGTATTTTGCACATAAAAACACCTGCCTTAAGATACATATGTATTTGTACAGAAAGAAAATCATGGAAAGTTGCTTGGTTTTGTTTTCTCTCTTGCTTTACGGTTTTAATGTGTGGTGCCTTTTACAAATTTATAATGAAACAATAGAGTGGTGCCATACTGAAGAAAGTCACGAGTTTTCATTCTAGATTTGCCTGAATTTTTTTAATGTATTTTACCATTAAACAGTAACTAACTCTTTTTATCTATATTTTAGCATACTGAACGATTGAAAATTTTCTGGGGTACGTTTCTAGTCTTTAAGTGAATAATGATACGTATCTTGTTGTATTGTTGAATGCAGCTGCTTTGTGCAATGTGTTTTTCTTTCTTGACTAAAAAATGGGAAATCTGTACACTCAACATGTCTGAACAAGAAAATGGAAAATTAAGATATAACATGTATCAAATCCACCTCTGTCTAATAAAATGCAACTTACACAACTCTCTTCATCTGACTTCCTGTGGAGAGATTTCTTCCTGAAGCTTAGAACTGGGTTTGAATAGCTGAAGTGTCTGTCCAGTGTGCAGCCTGGACACCCATGCTATGATTGTTGTAGTTTCTTGAAAATAATGCCTCATTGTTGGCATTATCCTTCCTGTGTCAGCAACTACTGTTCTTGTCTCCAAGACAAGCCCAGCCCCTATGTTTATAGGGACGAAGAGACACAGTCATTACGGAAACAGAGGGTAGGATTAACCTGCGTGTGATGGCAAGAGGGAAGAAAACTGGATGCTAACTACAAAGGAAAAAGAAGCACAAAATATGAGACCGCAGAATAGGTGAGTCACCTGCCTGTTGGGTTTCCAAAGCCTCTTCCCTCCTCGATGTGACCCTGCAAGGAAGGACCAAGCTGTGCTGTCTGCCCGGTGTCAGCTTGTGGCTGGCAACCTGCTCCCTCTCGGCCACTTCACCAAATCCCAGAGGAGTCTCCTCAGGATCACGACAATGGTATCCATCTTGCCTCTTCCATCCTCGGTTGGTACCTGCCTTCAAGCCTTTTTCCCTGAGTATTTTCAGCACTTATCAACTTGAGACGGTTACGTGCTTCTTCCACTTACACTCTGAAGTTGGAAAGGCTCTCCCTTGCCTCAGGAGGGCGGCATAGAGAGACTTCTACCACCTGAGCAGCAGTTTATTTCTTTGGCAAGGCAGCCGCTGATGGGGAGTATGGATTTTCCTGCAGAGCACCAGCAGGCTGAGGGCTGCGGCCCGCGGGCTGCTGCCTCTTCCCTGCGGGGGCTGCTACCCCTTCCCTGCGGGAGCTGCAGCAGCGGGACGGGGCTCGGGCGGCCGTCGAACGCCAGACCCCGTCAGGGCCCCTCCGTCAGGGCAGGGGCGTGCCGGGGCGGGACCCGCGGTGGGGCCGGGCCGGCGGGGGCGGGGCGGCGGCCGCCAGGGGGCGCCCTCCAGGCGGCAGCCGCGCTCTGTCGCGCTGAAAGGCCCCGCCCCCGGGATGGAGGTCCCGCCCCCCGGTACGGACCCCGAGGCGGGGGCGGGGCCAGGCGCAGCGCCCCGGCTCTGATTGGCGGAGGGCAGCGCTGGCCACGCCCCGCGCGCGGAGCGGGGAAGGCGCCTCGTCCCGCCCCGCGCGGCTCCCGCGGCTCCCGGCGCTACTCCCGCTGCCCTGGCGGGAAGGCGGGCACGGCCCGCGGCTGCAAGCGCTGTCCCGACTGTTTCCGTGAGTACGGCGGGCCGTCGCCAAGGGACCGGCTGCCGGTCCCCGCCCCGCGCCTCTGCCGCCGCGCGGGGCGCGGAGCGGAGCGGCGGCCGGCACATGGCGCGGTGCGGCGGCGGCGGCGCAGCGTCGAAGGGCCCCGGCCCGGCGGCGGCGGAGCGGCAGCGGCTGAAGGAGGCGCTGGCCGAGCAGCTCCGGCAGGACCTCGGCAGGTGGGCGCGGGGCGGTGGCCGAGCTGGGGGCGGCCCCGTGCGGGGCGGGGACACGCGGTAACGGTGCCGTCCGCAGGCTGCTGGCGGAGGGGACCCACTCCGACGTGACCATCCGAGTGGGCGACGCGGCGCTCCGGGCGCACCGGGCGGTGCTGCTGGCGCGGGCGCCGCGGCTCTTCGCCGCCCTGGGCGGGGGGCGGCCGCCCCCCGAGGTGCTGCGGCTGGACGGCGTGGGGACCGCGGAGATCCGGCGCTTCCTGCGGTGAGTGCGCGGCCGCGGCGGGACTGATGAGCTGGCCTTGGCACCGCTTCTCTTGTGTCCTGTCTTCTTGCTTGCCAGCGCTAACACCTGTTGTAAAGCTTTTCTCGTTCAAGGCAGTATTCTCACAGCTTTCCTACAGCGTTGGCAGGACTTTTCTGTAACTTCCTTATTTTCCTCTGCCTTTGTCCCTCTGGTGACAGCGCATGGCTGTGCTCTCCACCACAGCATGTTTTTTATGGTATGTAGAGGCTTTGGAGTAGATAAAGAGAAAAAGCAGCCAAAATCCTGAATGTACCCTCTAAGATTGTCTGTGCCTACTAACGCTCTTCTTAGCAAGATTCCCTAATGGAAACAGAAAAGAAAAACTGCTGTCAGGTCACAAGTAAAATAAAAAAGTTATGGATACAGAAACCTAGGACAGTTCATCAAGTGGGATGAAAATGCATCAAAGCTAGAAACTCATCACTCAAGTCCTAATGAGCCATGGGCTAGGCCAGAGACGGCACAGCTTTGATCCGAGCTGGGATCCCAGAGGGAGGCGTGTGGGCTGGCTGCTCCCCAGGGACTGGTGCAAGGGCCAGCGCGTTTTTGCACTGCCAGCTGTTTTCTCATTGCCACACATGCAACATCTCTCATGTCTTGCTCCAAACCTTAGGTAAGTTATGTGAGGAGTGTTGGCTGGTGTTGCCACCAGACCTTGCAATCCTCCTTGTTATAAGTGCCTCTCACCTTCTCTCAAAGACCTGCTTTTCTCTAACAAAGCTGCAGCAGTGCCAACTACTTTCCCTAAAACAGTGTTGGTGTGAAGTGGTAGGCACTCTGGGATTTCACATGAATTCAGGATGTGCCTAGAAAATGTAGGTACCTGCAGGCTCTTGAGATTGTTGGCAAGAGGAAGGAGGGGGAAGGTGTTGCAGTTTTAAAGTTTAGTGCCTGAAATAGTCTGACCTCTCCCTACTGGTTTTGTTCATTCTCTCCTTAAATTTGTAAATAAGACAGCAGATAGGTAAAAATATGTATTCGGAATACTAAAGTTATGATAATTATGAGAGAAAACTTTTTGAACCTAGAGTAATATCTGAAACACAAGAATCATTGTGGTGGAACAGGTCGATAAACAGGCATTTATTACGTTACTGTCACAGCCTGGCAGGAGCATTAGCAAAACAAGTGGTAAGAAACAAAACAGCATGGGTTTTGTCTCGTATTTTTCCTGACTCCATTATTACTTTGCTATAACTAATTTCTTTCACTTCATGTAAGAATTTCATGGAGAAGTATGATATTGCAAATTTTAAAATATCAAATTCATTTGGACATAATTATTTGGAATAATTATTTTAATTATCTATATACTGTTACAGCATTTTCTTTGTTTTCCTAATGGTAAGCACTTAATATGCCTACAGTCCACTGATACGTGCTTTCAATTTTGTCTGTGTTTGCTGGAAGGCAAGTAATGATGTCTGGAGTCCTGCATGTTCTCCAAAAAGGATGGTATTGAAAAGCACCTTTAAACTCAGCTCATCTCATTATAAACTTTTATCTTTTCACAGTGAGTTTAGATTCTTCAAATAACCCTCCCTGTATGTTCTAAGATATGTATGAAATGTGTTTTGCAAGATCATTGCTTTTTCTTAACTCAGTCTTCACCTTTCGAGTCCTCTAACCTAGCACATGCTGTGAAAATTTGTGCCACAGAGTGCACTGAAGTTTGACGACAGTGAACTCCTTTGGACCAAAGAAAGGAAGCAGCCTTAGTTGAAAAGAGCCTAATTCATTGTTGAAATGACTTCTGCTGGTATCAGTGGCTGTTGAATCTCAGTGGCTTCTTGTTTGGATGCTAATTAATTAATCTTCACAAATGCAAAACAGTGCCTTTAAATTAAAGCTTCAGGTTTACCAGAAGCCAGCCTAGTTCTTGGAGCACGTGAACCACCATGATGAGTTGTAACAAAGACCTGTAGCTGCAGCTGAGCTCCTGAAAGATGTTGTGTTCTACAAAAGTTCTGGTTTTGCGTGGAGAAGTGGAATACTAATACAGTATTGAAGAGTTCATCAAAGATATACAAAAATCTCATTTCTTTTCCTGTTTGTGTTCAGCTTTTCTTTTATCTTCCCAAGTAAAAATTATCTTCCCTTAGGGATTTGGGGATTTTCTTTTCTCACGGGCTATATCTGGCCTGCATCTCAGTGAGGCTCACTTCCTTTGGGCCTCTGTCTCTCTTCATCAGGAGAGATGTGAGCTGCGTGTCACTTGTGTGCTGAAGGCTGTGCAGCTCCTCTTGCCAAACTTCTGAGCATTTTTGAGCAGGAGGGAGGACATGGTGAGCTTCATGCTGACCTTTCTGCATAGCCCCAGCATGAAATAGAAGAGCAACTAAGCAGTGTTTTGTTTCCCTCCGTACACTTGAATATCTGAGGACACCAGGAAGTGCAGCATCCATATTGTAGACACTCTGTACCCTATTTTTTTGCATGATTAATGTAATATTGACTGTGCCCTCCAATAGCCTCCTGCCACTCTTCAGGACACCACTAGAAAAGTGTCATCAATTCCAAGTACATGGATGGCAGGAGATGACTGCCTAAGCAGGGTTCTGCGGTGTGCCTCAGGAAGAAAAACTTAGCATCCCTAAAGGACAACAGTCAGTCACAGATCATTAGATCATTACTATCTTGTGAGCTGGGAGGCAAACTGCTTTTTATTTTCCCTTGCAGTTGGAAAAAATACAGCTTTAGCAATAAAAAATCTAGTTATTATTGTCTCTTGATATTTGTATTGAAGGCAGCTGATTCAGGGAAGGACAGAGAGGGACCTAATGACAGATCCAGTTAAAAAGCAATAAATACAATCAAATACAAAGGAATACAATTGTCATTGTGACATTTACTGCCACAGGGGTTAATTTGCAATAGCAGCAGTTGATTCAATGTAGACCAGCCAAGGCTTCAACCCTGTTATGCTTGTAGAGTTCTGTATCAGGCAGTACAAGGATGTCACATCTCTCTTAAGTGCAGGCAGAAACATTCTGGAAGGTAAACTCCTAGACAGCATGATGGCAGTAACTTCTTTCTGTAGAGTCTCTGCAAACCTTTCTTTGTATAAAAAAATCTTAGGCTGTAGTAACTGCTATGAAAACAACAAATACCCTATAGCATGTCCCTGTTTCATCTGTCACCTGGCCACACCTCTTGCAATCTCATTGCTCATGCCTATCAGAATCTTTTCTGTGTGCAGGGGGGGGAATCCCCAAGCCATAAGGTGAGGTATCTATTAAAATTACACAACATCATACTGACGTTACAGAAGGTGATGGCTTAGCTCTGTTTTCAGCTTGACATTCTCTTGCATGTGAGGTTTTCATAAAACAGTTGCACCAAATACAGCACGTTTGTGAATATTTGTTCTTTAAATACAATTTCCGGTTACAGTTCCATACCACTGGATTACAAAGTAGTGAAAAAGGGAAATATTTCTTTAAATAACTTGTGCATTAATTTATTCTTACTGATTCCTAGATTGTCATAGTCCACATTGGATAATGGCTGCTTTGGAGGAAACAAACCTGACTTATACACATGTACACTGAATTCTTTTATGTTTATGCCTCAGCAATCTTACCCTTAATATCTAGGCTTACGCATTCCCCTCTAGTGGGTTGTGATTGCAGACCACTCTTTCAGAAGAATAGCATGCCTCCCATGTTATTGAAATTTTATGGTTTATACAAACTATTCTGATGTGGTCCTTCCCTTTTATCCTGTTACCAGTCGTGCCTGTTGATGTGGTGCAGTGTACCGTGCAATGAGTATCTTCTCTGAGTGACTGATTCGTGGAACTTGAAAACAAGCTAACTGCATAGGGCTTTCTGTGGCACTTACAGGTGCATTTTTTGGCCCAACAACTATTCTTTTCGTATTCTTTCATAAAGGAATCAGTGATACAGCTGAAAAAAAATCATCCCTCCTAAAACAAATAGAGTTAACAAACCTTGCCCTACTGATGTGGCAACATGGGAACTGACTTAAACTTTGTGAAACAATAAGTCCTGAATTAAAATGCTCTGTTAAGACTTATCTCCAA